TAATTACTGTTGTTATTAATTATTACATCATTATTATCGTTATTATTATTGCATTTGCTATTATTGTTTCTGCATGGCATCACTTCCATTATCGTCTATTCAATAGTTATTTCGATGGTCATTGTTGATACTATTGTTGTTTCCACTTGACCAATTATTAATATTCGTCTTATTTGATCCTTGTCTCATAGTAGTCTGTCTCTTATTTAGTCCATTATCGATCTGTTCTTGATTCATGATCATGATAATCTCATACAGCAATCATTCATTATCACGATAATCAGTTAATCAATCAGTCAGTTAGTGTTTTCATGGCGGTTGTCATCTTTTATTACCAGTATTATAATAATAAATATAATTATTATCTTGATAGTAAATAGTTATTGTTTGACCGCATTTATCATCGAAAACAATCCGGTTAACCGCTTTTTTGACTGGTTTATCTTGTCGCATCATTCATCTGCCATTTAATCCTTAATTACCGAACATACCATACCATGTAACCCTATTAATAATGGCACTGTTATTATCACTGTCATTATCATAATTGATCTATTCGTACTATTGTTGTTGATATTGGTAGTTAACTGCTATTGAATACGATTGATAGCTAATTGCAAGATAAGTTTATATGATATGATGATCCTAATAATTTCCTGCTAATTTACTACCCTGCAATTTATAATTATTTAAAATTATATTTTCAATAAGATGGTAATTATTTTACGTGCTTACAGTAGCATATTTGTTTATACTTTGTTGTTTTATCAGTGCATAATTTGCCAAATTGTTGATAAGCTAAGAAAACCAATTGATTAAACTAGCGATAAAGCAAATTGCATTTGTGACAATCAATTTTTTTTTTCGCAAAACATTGTGTTTGCTAAAGAAGAACAGATTAAAAAGGGTGTTTGAATTCATTAAAATTTGTCAAAATTTTTTTCAACTTCAATTGTTCTCAAATTAGTTGTATGCATAGTTTTATTTGCTTTTCCACTTGTTTTATTTACACAGCTTTATTTATCTACAACACTGTGAACTTATTGTTTTTGTAATTAAAAATGCCATGAATTTTTCTTGTCACTTGTTTGTGACTGATGAATGCATCATTTATTTAAATCAGTTTTTTTTCTATTAATGTTTTAAGTTAAAATGTTATAAAATGATAAAGATATTCGGTTTGTGATGATTCATTAGTGCGAATCGACACGTTGATGATAATATTAATTAATGCTAATGATTAAATATCGAATCGTTAAGCATGATTTCATGATGAATTTAAATGATAATAGCGATAATATATGGTGATGATAGCGGTGATAATAATTTGTTGATAACAGCAGTGATTACTAATTTAATTGCACATTTAGTAATTCATTATTATGTGTTAGCAGTAAGAGATCATTATTATCTATTCATGCGCTAAAATAATTTGATTACAGTTTTTTGCCATTGTGAACTTTGCTTATTAGTTTTTTTGTTTTGAAGTGTATTAAATTCATCCTTGTCACAATATATTTTGCTTGTGAGATTTTAATGCATTAATTAAGCGTATTAAAAAGTGTGCACTTTATAAATAGGGAAGAAGGAAATTTTGTTATTTAAATTCTAAATTCGAAGTATTCTTAAATATAAATAATGCATTCATATATATTTTACTTGCTAAATGTAAAATTCTTTTTAAATTTTCATAAATTAATTGATTGCTTGATGGAATTTCTACTATTGGTTTTAATATTTTAATATATTCTTCGTCCTTATTAGCACGGACATATTATTCATATTTGTGAAATAGTTTTGAAATTTTTAAACATAGATATTAGTGATACACGAGTTTTTTTGGTGTACTTTTTTGTCATTATCCTCTTCATGAAGATATATATGTTCCTTACTGATTTTAATTAATATTTTAATATATTCTTCATCTTTATTAGCGCAAACGTTTAAAATCAACGATTTAAAGATTTGAAAATAATTTTGTATAATATATTAATTATTTACAACATTATAGCTGCAGTAAGCAACGATATGTAAAAGGGGATATTTATTTTTACAAAACGGACTACAATAGAATGGGACTGGAAGCGGTACCATGTGTGCTTCGTAGTGCAGCCAATGGTGGCAATAGTTCATCCTATTGTACTATTGGCTTTCTTATTCGACCATCAACCTCATCAAACAATAATACTACCGGTCAAACGGTTTGTTTTTATTTTTTCATTTAAAAAAAAATTTTTTTTCTTTTAATTTGTCAGAATAGTAGTACCTGTACGTTTTATATCTGATTTATACAATAGTAAGATAAAGTATCTAGTTTGGGAATATTCATAATGACAACAGATAAGTACATTCGTACAGAAATTGTTATTATGAAAAATTGTAAATGATAGAAGTTTTTTGTCGATTTAAAATAAAAAGAAAAAGAAAAGTTCAAAAAGCTTTTCTTAGTTCAAGGATGAATGAGATGTTAGCACTTTTTTTAGAAATTTTTTAGTATATTTCTAAAAAGTAAACATTAAGGAATAGTTTGAATTAAGTAAACAAATATGGCTTTGAATAGTGTGTGACAAGAATTGTTGAATGTTGTTTGCATATGATTGTAAACATTATCGTTACACATGTATGCTTTCTTGTTGTTTTATTTTCTTTTTTTTTTCAGAGACATAAGTTATCAGTTACGTAAAGGTTTAATATAGCTTTATTTGATTAGTTTAAGAAACAGAGAGAGAGAGAACTGGTTATCCACCATTTTGGTTATGATCCGGTTCTATCATAATGGAGAATATTTGAGCGATTCTTGACTCTTGACTACTCTTTACTGCTAGCTCTTGTTAATACGAAATACAATTTTAAAAATTTGTATTTGTGATTTTAAAAAATTATCAATTTGAGTGCCGAACATAAATTGTGGTTCCAGGTTTCAAATGCGGCAATTAGTAGCACAGCTTCAGTAGCGGTGCCATCAGGTAGTGTTCCAAAATCGTTGCATGTAGTACCCGCAACCATTCAAAAACAATCGGCTACTATTGCAACAGCTGCACCAAAACTCGTGGTTCCAAGCGTTCTACGAATACAACCCACACCTTGTACCTCGGCTCATTTGGCGCCACCGGCTCCTCCACAACCGGTGCACCATCCTTCACCTCCAAAACCACCACCGCCCATTCAGCAACATCATCTTCAACCGCAGCAGCAGCAGCAGCAACCGCAACATTGTAGTACTGATAGTTGGTTACATGCGGCACCGCGCTCCAATGTCAGTAGCGGTTCCTTCGAATCACCATCGCCTTCACAGGTTGTCGTTTAATAAAAAATTTGTAGCATATCGTTGAAAAATTTTGTATTTTGCAGGAATTAAAGGAGTCTATGATTTTATGCCTATAATTTAGTATATGAGCATTTATTACGGAATTCTCTATTTGTTATCATTTCATAAAATGAGTGAAATAACATGCTTTGATAATTTAGGTTGTACCACAAATGAACTTAAATGAATCATACGATTGTCAAATGCCATGTACAAGCAGCACACCGTTTTTTCCACCCATATCATCTATAACGCAAAGCTTTTCATCCGGAAAATCGGACATCGATTTGCTTCAAGTAATTGCAGATATTTTTTTAGTTTTGACAAAAATCTATTTTAAATTTTGCCGTCCACTAAACCAAAATTATTTGATTGTACAACGTAATGTATGTTCTAATTAATATCATGGCTTTAGACCGAACATGTCGTATGCAGGAACTCCTGATAATAGTAAATAATTCCAATAAACCAGATTCATTCGTTAATTAAGTGGCCGCTGCTTTGGCCGATTGATACGAGCAGTGAAAAAACAAATAGTGCATTTCTCAAAATTTCTGGCAGAGTTAAAATTGAGTAAAGACATGTTTTTTGTTGATCACTTAAATTTCGGTACTTTTTGTGCCAAATTTTCGTGGATGTGCTTTAGTCACTTTTGTGTTACTTACTGTTTTCACCTTACAGGATATGACACATGTTGGTTTAAATCCTCCAGTTATGCGTCAACAACAGCAATCACAACATTTAACTGATAAAACAGTAATGATAACTCCTAATCATTATGCTCAGCAGCATAATGTTACGCCCCCTCCGGCACCACAGCAGCACCACTATCACAATACGGCTCCTCAAATGATGCATATGCAAAATTCTTCCTCATGTACTGTGCAAGCTAATTACCAGACACATATACAGGTTTGTATTTGTTATATCTTTTCTGCCTGGGCCGTGATCCTCCGGATCACCTTATGACTTTTTGTTGAATACTTCAGAGCTGCACGCTGCTAAAATCTATTGTTTCAACGAATTTACTTTATACTTTACATTAGCGTAATGTATTATAATTAGATTTCATATTTCTCGTTATTTTATTCACACTTGATTTAGTGTAATTTTATTTTTAAAGAAAAGAATTCAGATTGTTGCGGTATAATTATCTGCGCAAACTGTATTATCACTATGTTTTGCTCAGTGGAGATCATGGCATTCATGAAAATGCTTTTTTCCAGGTTGAATTAAACGGTGGAATGTCATCTTGTCAGTATCAGAACAATTATAACGTTGTGACGAACTGTTCTCCTACGGCAGATAGTGGAATCCAAAGTATTGCTGACTCGCCACCAGCCGATCCGTTCACTCCACCTACGCCATACATTCCTCCTCCTCCGGTAAATTTTAAAAAACATTTCTGTGGGATTTTTAGACTTTCAAATGAATGACTGTTTTTATTTCCTGAAGTCTATTTATACAGTTAGCGGAATATTTACGAAATTAACATGATGTTCACTTGGACTTTACATCAAGAGATGACGAATTTGGAATCCGAAATAGAAGCTCAATATCTTATTTCTGTAAGACTGTAATTGGTTCATGCTAGAATTTCTGCAATTTTCAGATAACTGCGACAACGAGTAAAAATAAAGAACCGCAATTAACAGTTAATTCGACAACCTGTCCCGATGATTATTCCGATATGCCACATCTGATACCTTTCCATCAAATGGAAATGGAAAGTGGTTCGCCGTTAACGGAAGAATCACCACCATTTATGACAAAAACACCACCACCCGACAGTATTATTATGAAAACTGCTGAAGTGGAGAATGCATTAATGAAAAATGAAGGAAAACATTTTGAGCAGATTGATGAAACTGTAGCTGTGTCTCAAGAAAAGACAAAGAAGGAATCAGATGATGACATTCCGAAAATAGCAATTACTCCAGCAATGAATGTTACAGATTTGGTAGAACAACTAATGTCGCATATGGATCCGCAACAGCGCAAACAGTTTGCTAGTGCTATCCAATCGAAAGTTGCTATTGATGATACTATAGCAATTGATAGTGGTAATACTGTTATTACTACTACAACTGCTGCTATTACTACTACTACTACTACTATTACTACTACTACCACTATTACTACTGCTACTACTGCTACTACTACTGGTACCACTGTTACGAGTATTCCTGATAATGATGCTAGTAATGTTACAACTGCAACTGCCGATATTATTTCTTCCGTTGCAATTGCTACTGCGAACATTTCCACTACTACTGTTAATGCTGCGACTACTTATGACGATAAATTAGTGGAACTGTTATCCAAAGAACCAGAACATGAAGTTGCAGTGCAAACCGAATTTGTCGACACATCAGAAGTACAGCCATGTGAGGATCGGAACGTCGAAAGTGAAGTTCCGGAGCTCAAAAATGAGATACTGAAAAGCAAGAAACGAAAGACTCGTAAACGCAAAATGGAAGATTGTAACGAGTCGGTTTCAGGAAAGCTAGCACGGAAAATGAAACGAGGGGAAATAGAATGTAAATCGAATGATACTGTTATACGGTGTTCAAGCGTCGATGAATTGGCTTGTGGTGAAAAAATAAATGCAAATAACTTGAAAAGACAAATGCCTATATCATCCAGAAGTTTGGATGCTGAGATTCAAGAAAGGAAGTGTAAAGGACGGAAGAAACAAGAAGAGAGGAAAAAGTATGTAGCCGAAAAAAAGTTTCCCACTGGAAAATTAGAAAAGAAAAGAGTGACTGGTGAGGGTGTTTATAAAGGACGTCAAGAATTTGCTTTAAGTGTTAATGCTGCGAAATCGAACGGATGTTTAGAATATTCGGATGAAAATATGGTGAATGAAATTAAAGAATTTCATTTGGATATGAGGCGGAAAGTAAATGAGCAGCTGAAAATCGTCATTGAACAAATCGGCAGGCAATTTACCAATCTGGAACTGAATTTAGGTGATCGGCAGCATTGGGATTTACCCTGGTATCATTTGAATTGGAAGGAAGTCACTCGAAGGTTTGCCATTCTGAAATTGAAATTCAAGAGAATTAAGATCCTAAAGTAATATAGGGTACTTGTACAATATGCATTTGATGTGAAAAGTTCGCTATATTTGAATTTCAAAACCTTGAAGAAGCTAGGTCTTACTGCGGTAAGACCAACATTCTTCTGAGTAAATAAGTTGATAGTTTAAGTGTAATTTATTGAACCAATAAATTGTTTAAATTGATCGTTAGGTCTAACATTTTTATACAAAAAAGAAATTCTTTTGCAAAAAATTAAAGAAACCAATTTTGAGGTTTTATGGTTTTTGTTATTTTTAGATGGTTCTTTTCTAGGTTGATTGAAAGAAATCGACTCGAAAAATCAAAACAAGAGAAAAATGGTTCAAAAACGTGCCGAATTGGAGATAGAAAATTACAAAAATCAAGAAAGAATGATTCTTTTGTTGCAAGGTAGGGATGATAGGTCTTTTTTTTCTGTAGAAAACAAAATATTTAACAAATCCATTTAAATTCATAAATTTATGCTATTTTTGAAACATATTTCTTAATATTGCACTAACGACATCAGCTGTTGTGTGAATCACTGTGGTCTTTATTTCCTGGCCGCATTGATGTATGAGTTTAAAATATGTCATGCTTGAGGAGAAAGGACCTTGCACTTTAAAAATAATTTGATACATCCTTTTTTTTTCCTCAACCTGAGTGCTGTTTCAATCGTTCCGTTTTTTAGTGCTACACCATCATCGTCAAAAATGTGTGAAAAAAGTCGTCGTTCACCTGGTGATTACATTAAATTAAAACAAAGTTAGTTATCTTCATTTAGAATTTTCAAACAATTCAGACTGACTTTTTTATTCACCTGCACTTTTTTTACTGTAAATATTTCGAAATGCACTCATCCATAATGACATCAGAATGAAAGTTTTTCCATTCAGTCATCATTTTTGTCATAATCCAAAAAAAAAATATACGTTGTACTTGAATGAACAGAGATATCTAATATGACTGCAGATGTGATCGTTGATGTTTATCCAAAAATCGAGCAGATGCAATGCTCTTGTTCCTCCGGATGTTGCGGTGAAAGTGATGAATGTTTGAATCGGTAGGTTTTTGAGTGTATTTACGTTTTTAATTTTTCTTTGAAAAGATCGATGATCAAGTTGTCATTTTTATCTCTTATTATTTCGTTTTTATTTCAGAGTAGTATTGATGGAATGTGGCAGTAGCTGTCCACGAAATGCTCTCTGCACTAATAAACGATTGTTTCGGCGTGAATGTGTTGAACGTTTGCGAACTTTCCAAACGATGAATGGCTGTGGTATTGGTGTGAAAACAGATGTTAATATTGATAAAGGACAAGTAAGTGCTCAATGAATTTTATTTGGCTTTAATATTGGTCACTGATAGGCATCTGTGACACGATTACGGTGACAAATCGTATTTAACAATTTGTTAGATGATTAGTTAACAAATATGTGTAACATATCGACATCGTGTGTTACCATCCACTGTTATCTTAATTTAACATCATAAAGAGGTCAGCGATTGAGAGAAACATAATCAATGCTCGAGAACTAAACGTCATTTTATCGCGAAGATTTCATTTTTGAAAAAATTTTTTATTTTTGTAAGAATATTCGAAAATCGTGTTGTACCTTTATTAGTTCATGTTTAAAACGTATTTTACAGAACATTTTTAACTAGACGAGATAAAGATTTGTAACGTCTTTTGAACCACAATGTCCAGTTTTTTTCTGACACCTAACTATCGAATATCCTACCTCATTGCTTTAAATATGATTTTATAGTGCCTTACCGCTTTGAATTAAATGAACAATTTTTTAACCATTTGTAGCAGCTTTTAATACAGCTGCAACATTTCTGTGATGTTTGTTTTTATATCATGCTTAATAAATTTGAGTAAATTTGTTTCTTAATATATTCAAATGTCATATCTTATTATTATCATTCGTTGTACTGATTATATACAGTTATTGAAATTTTTGCAGTTCATATGTGAATATATCGGTGAGGTTGTTTCAATGGAAACATTTAATACTCGAAGTCGTACTAATTATCGTTATCAACGAAATCATTACGCATTAAACCTCTGTCCAGGTTTTGTCGTCGATGCTTATCGTAAAGGAAATATTGCACGATTCATTAATCATTCCTGTGCTCCAAACTGCGAGATGCAGCGTTGGTGAGTTATACTAATACATTGTCAGTGACTTCCAGACTTTGTTTTCTTCAATTCTTCAATTTCTCATACACTTCTCGAGATTCAGATTGAGCTTTGATTTATAATTCAGAAATGTCTTAAATCATTGCATTCACCTCGTTTACTTACGAAATAACTTTTCTGATATTGATTTTGAATAATTACAAATGCATTATTAAAATGACGTTAATTGTAGGTCTGTTAACGGCCATTACCGAATTGGCTTATTTGCTCTACGTAAAATTTATGAAGGTGAAGAGCTTACATACGATTACAATTGGGATGCATTTGAATTTGATGATGTAACGATATGTTGTTGTGGTGCACTGAATTGTCGACATTTCCTTAATAAAAATGTTATTATGAATAATCGGGAAAAGGAATTAGCGCGTAACACGCGTTTACTTCTGCTGCGAAATGTACAAAAGTCGGCGGCATGTAAATTGAAGAAATTTAGAAAGGGTAGGTTTTGTGTTTTTTTTTCCGCCAGATGTTTTGAGGTCATAACCTAATAATCTATAAGAGATGAGGTCATATTGTGGCTGTGATGATTAGAGATGAAAATATAAAAAATAAATGTATTGCGAAGTGTATTTCGAAGTGTAGTGGGATAAGCGGATTATGGCCGCTTATTTTTAGATAGTCTGAGCAAGCCAGTAATAAGTTTAGATAGTAGTTAGCAAATAATTTAATAATTGGAATAAGCTTTTAGTAATATTCACTCTACATTATATATCTTGTTGATTGTAGTAAACCTAAAAAGTTAGCGGGTTTGCGGTGTTGCGATTGATTGAAGCAGGAGTGTAATTTGGAAGAATATGTTTGAAAAAATTTTAATTTCATATTGTTTTTTAGGATCTCGATCTCAAAGCCAAAGTAGAACATCGAAAATGTCTTTGGCAAATCCTTCAGCAAGTAACGGAGATGTGCATTTAGAGCAGCTGTGTCAAGAAGTAGTCATGAAGTTTAATGATTCTAAAGTAGCTTCCAAAAAACAATTCAAAAAACTATCAAACTTCGTCACTGAACTTCGTGAGCAGCACACTTCCACACAGACAATCTTGGAAATTCTGGAATCCATCGAACTGAAAGTTAATAGTTTGCTTGGTAAATCTGACAGACCTCTAGATCGGCGGAAGCTAGATATTTGGCGTACAAGTTTTGCTTCGATAAAAGCAAAGCACTCGCGTCAAACGAGAAAATATGATAAAAGTGATTGTCAACAGCATCATCAGAGCCGAAGAAAATCGAAAACTGGACCTCATCGGACTTTGGCAGCAGCAATTAATTACCAATACCTTGATTCTCCTGTATGGTTTGCTCATGTTTTTTCATGGTTTTATTTCAGTTATAGTGCTTCCGGAAATTTAACTTTGAGAAGATATCTTCAAAAAATATTTTTATAGCAATTTTTCTTGCTAATATTTATGAATTTTTGTTTATAGATTCCGGTTGGCTCATACGATAATGATGATTTTTCGTATCTTAGTATAGCTGATGCTAATACGGATTGTGTGCGCTGCATATGTGGTACTACGGATGATGATGGACCTATGATACAGTGCGAAAAGTGTAATTTTTGGCTTCACGAAGAATGTGTTTTCGATGAGAAACCATTTGATGAAGTTAAAGTAAATAATATTTCGCAATGCTTTTAATATATATGGATTGATAGACCTTTAGACAATTTTGAATTTTGCTACTTCTCTCCTTATTCTTAGCGTTTTCTCGAAGTTGATCTTTTGTCTTAAAATATTACTTAAATTTACTTTAGGATTTTATTTGTATCATTTGCGTTCGAAATGCTCAACGCACGTCGACTGCATCAATTCCGCTGCGTATTCAGCCCGACTACAATTTTAAGAACTGTACTTATTATCGAACATTGGTAAATTCACGGCATTTGCAAGTACGTCTCAGCGAAACGGTATATGTGCAAAAACTTGAAAACGATAATGTAAGAAAATTTATAAATTTTTGAGAAAAGTTTAATTTTTTTGCTTATTTTTCATTGCTTTCATTGTTTCATTGTTTTATAAGTTGGATTCAAACGAAAAGAAAAACAGCATAGATTTCATTTTTTTTTTGTAAAGTTTTTCAAATAATTTAATCAAAGGCAGTACTGTTCTGCAAGTTAAATCTGTTTCTTTCTTTTAGCATAAATTGATACTACGACGATTAGTGGAATGCACAAAACATAGTAGTCCAGTAACAAATATAATTCCTGCTGAATTAGAAGAGACTGATAAAGAGTTTTGCCCAGTATCATTTCATCGTAAGGATGTTAGATGCTTCCGTATCGAACGTCTTTTTTCATTCGAAGGGTATAAATTCGTTTTCGGTTTCTATTACGCACGGCCACATGAAGTCTATTGTGAACCAGGCAAATTATTCCATGAGAAAGAGGTAAATTTCTTTCCATATATTTGATCATATATGGTGCTCTTGTTGTATGATATTGTGTCTTTGGCAGTTGTGTAAATCCTACATATTAATAACACAACAAATTTATCTGAAGTTGAGTCCGGAAATGTTAATTATTAGTTATTTGTTTAGTGCTTTGATAGTATATTAATTTAAAAAAAACTGTTGTTTAAAGCCCTATGTGCAGCTAACATGCGTGAATATTTGACTGATGTTTGTTCGTCAAATTTTGTCATAAATTCTCTTTGGAAAATTTTTTTTAAGCTTTTTGCAACCAGTATGTATGATACACTTCCACTTGATGCCGTTGTTGGACGTTGTTTAGCTTTGGAATCAAGTATATATTGTCTTGGAAGACCAAAACTGCCTCATTATGAAGAAGCGGTATGTTTCTTCTGGATTGGTTTTGGTGGTGGATTACTAGTAGAGATTATTAGTTGTTTATTGGGTTATAGTAAAATTTGAGTTTTCAGTGATTGTTGGGCATATTAAAAGATTGTAGCATCAGTTCAGTTGATTCGGTTGATCAGTTAATTCAGTTGGTTTAGTGTGTTCGTAAATATCCATAGATTATTAAGTTGATTTCGAGAATATTGAGTCGTAATATAGTCAATTGTTTATTGAGCGCATCTGCATGCTGTATTCTTCGTACTTTTATAGGATGTATACTTTGTGGAATACCAAACGGGGAAAAATTCGAAATTCGAAAAAATTCCTCCGAAAAACCAATATTACATCAATACCGATCCACTCATTTTTTCACCTTTCAAACAGAAGTTGACCATTTCTAGAACATTTACGGTAATAATTGAAATATTACAGATCAGTTTCAGATTTTGGTCAGCTCTAATTTCTCATATATACTGGTTTTCAGTTTTATTTCATAGTTTAGCATACATTTGATGAGTTATGAAACCTTGAGAAGATTTGAAAGTCATTTCTTCATGAGTGTATTATAAATAAAATATGTTTAATTTCAGCCTTTTGTAATGGAACAGGATATGAAAAATTTTTCCCGTTCTAATGCTTCCGATCATAATAACTGTATAATCGAAAGAAGACGACAACAAATGGCTAATTTAGAAATAGTTCTGCAACATTTGCCAATAACGGGCAAAAGAAGAGAACCACTTAAAGCTATAAGCTGTTCATCTGATAAGTTATCAAAGCAGAAACGACTACGCCAGATTCGTCACTGATATTAAGAATTTTTTAAATATGAAACAATAGTTTTTCATAGTTCACATAATTTACATCTGCAGAATCAGATGATATCATATATATTTCTTATCACTTCATATATATATATATATAACAAGAAATTTTCATTTTAAATTGTTTACTAAAATCGCTTAATTTAATGGTATTTTTTCTTATTGTCTTGTATAGTATAGATGCAGAAAATTCGGACAAAAAATTTCCTTGAAATTTGAAATGTTGTTTGAGAGCACTGAATGATTTTGATTAGATGACGTAGGTCTGTAATTTCATCGCGGGAAGTTTATAGTCAATCGATTTTGTATGATATAAAATCATATTTAAATTATTTAGCGGTGC